TGCCACGTCCGGGCTGGGAAGGGGGGAACGGGAGAGCTGGCAGGCAGCACTGCCTGGCAGACGTGGCAGGGCTGCAGGGACGGGAGCCTTCGCCTTTTTCCCTGTCACAGCTGGATTTGCCAGCGGTGGAGGGAGCCTTACGCCAGCCTGGTGCAGCGAGGAGGCGAGTGCGGTGCTGGCACCCAGGGCCATGCCGACCTGGGGAGCTTCGAAAGGAGGGAGAAAAACCAGCTTCCTCCCTCCTTTGGCTCCTGCGGAGCTGCGTCCCCACAGGATCCCTGCCGGCCACCTCCCGGGGAAGTTCAGCCTATTTTTAGGTGAACTCTCCTTAGCCTCCTGTTAGGGCGGATCTTCCCATCCGCTGGTTTCACGAGGATCTCCGAGGGGTGCGCCGGGTTCCCGGCTCGGCAGGTTGGCGCGATGGGAGGGCTGGCACTCGCCTCTCCCTGGCTTAAAAGCCTGAATCTTTCCCCCTTTGGGATATGGGAATCCTCAACGTTCCGCTCTGCTAGAGCTGAGGTGGCGGCAGCTTTCAGTGGTGTTCTCTTGCGTCCGTCCGGGACGGGTGAACCGGAGCAGCCGAGCTGGTGCTTCAGCTCTTACGGGCTCTCAAAGGAGTTTGGGCTGCTCAAACAAGCGTGATGCGCTCCCCGTCGCCGCCGTGCCCAGGTCCCTGCTGACCTGGGCGGGGGTTTTGGCTTCTCTCCCCAGCTCCTGCCGTCACATGCTCCCCCAGCGCCCACCCACCACCCCACCGTGATCGTTCCAGCGCCGCCTCCCTCCCATCACGTCACCGTGGTCACCATGGGCCCGTCCTCGGTCATCAACACAGTCTCCACGTCCCGGCAAAACCTGGACACCATCGTTCAGGTAAGGGGGACCAGGCAGGACGGCGGCGGGGTTGGCGGGTCCTCGGGGGGTCCCTGACCCCCCTGGGTGTGTGGGATGGGGGACGCGCGATGTCCTGACAGCCGGCGGCTGCCCTTGGCAGGGGGTCCAGCCCATCGAGGGGACGCAGGGGAAGGAGCTGG